TTTTGTTTTTTTCCCAGTGCTGGAGATCACACCCAAGACTTCATTCATGCTATGCAAATGCTCTACTACAAAGCTTGCCATGTCCCTACTTTAAGATGTGACTATAAGGCTGGGAAGATGGTTCAGTGGGTAAAAGTGTTTGGTGTGCAAGCCAAAAACCTGAGTTTGCATCTTAGAACCCACATTATTTTTGAAAGCCAGATGTGGTAATCTCAGAACTCAGATAGCAGGATGGAAAATGGAACCAGAAGAATTGCTCAGAAGCCTGGGGGCCAACTAACCTGGAGTACTTGTCACAGTGACCAAAAACAAAACAGAACAAAAAAACCCAAGAGAGATCTTGCCTCAAACACGGCAGAAAGTGGCTCAGAAAATTGTTCTGTAGCCTTCTCACAAATTTAAAGAAAAAGTGGATAGGGAGGCTGACCTGCAAAATGGCTCAACAGGTGAACACTCCTACTGTCCAGCCTTGTAACTTGAGTTCAGTCCTAGGACCCACATGGTGTAAGGAGAAAACCAACTTTAGCAAATTGTCTTCTGATCGCCCATGCACTTGATGGTACCTGCACCCACACTCACAGAGCAGATAAACGTGTAAAATATAAAAATGCATACACACACTCACATAGAGACAAACACACATACAAAATTATTGTAATTTCCATTCCCAGAGTAAATTACTTGAAGGAGTTCTGCATTTCCCAGGCTGAAATGTGCCTCTAACAGTCTCAATAATACATGGCTGTTCCAGGGTCTCCCCAGATTGAAACTAAAACTGATCTTTCTTCCCTAGGAGCTCGAGGCCATGAGTCGGTACACTAGCCCGGTCAACCCGGCTGTCTTCCCACACCTGACTGTGGTACTTCTGGCCATTGGCATGTTCTTCACCGCCTGGTTCTTCGTGTATCCTTTTACTGAACAGCCAGGGAACCAGAACTAGTGGCGTAAGAACTGAGGAAGAAACCACATTGGGTAACTGTGCCCTGCTACTTTTTTCCTTTGTGGTGGGGTTGAGACAAGGTGAGTATAGGAGAAGGCTGGTGATGCCTAAGGGCAGGCCATGGCCCTGTTTCCAACGTCGTTAGCTCAGTTTGCTAGAGACTGTGAGCCAAGGTTCAAAAGGTGGTTTGTTGGTATTTAGGGGGCTGGTTTTCTTTTGAAAAAGGGTCTCACTGTGCAGACATGGCTGACCTGAACCTTACAGGGGTCCACCTGCTTCTGCCTCTGCAGAGTACAGGCATGTACCACTACACCCAGCAGAAGGATGATTTAAGCAAGGGTGTGCTCAAGTGTCAGAAAGTCTGGTGCCTAGTCTTAGCTATACCATGAGTGAGATGTGATTAGAGGTGATTGGCCTAACTACTGTGGGCTTCTTTTCCTCATGGGTGTTAAGAGGTGTGGTATGGAGCATCAGAGTCTATGTTATCTCTTGGGCCCCTTAGTCTACCAAGCCAGACAAGCCTCCTAAGAAGCCTTAGCCTATGTTTCCCCATGTTGAGTAATCCTAGACAGCTCCTGTATTGTAGTCCATCTTTGCTTCTCTATCTCTCTTTGTCTGTCTCCCTGTCTATCTCTGTCTCTCTCCCTCTCCCTCTTTCTCTCTCTCTCTCTCTGGTTTGTTTGTTTTTTGAGACAGGGTTTCTTTGTGCATCCCTGGCTGTCCTGGAACTATCTGTAGACCAGGCTAACTTTGAACTCACAGAGATCTGTTTGCCCCTGCTTCCCAAGTGCTAGGATTAAAGGCATGAGCCGCCACTACCCAGCTCTCATTGCTTCTCCTTAACAGTCTTCCTAGTTACGAGGTCACCTCCACAAAGTACACACGTGATATTTACAAAGAGCTCCTCATCTCCTTGGTGGCCTCACTCTTCATGGGCTTTGGAGTCCTCTTCCTCCTGCTCTGGGTTG